TGTTCGTGATCAAAATCATGATTTTATTTTCTAAAATTTTGGTAATCTTCTTTGGTGATCCAACTAACATCATACTAGAATCCAAAATTATAATTTGCCCGAACCATAATTGTTCGACTAATTTCAAAGATGAGTTGGGTTCCAATATTCTAAACATAAGTGAATTCGTGTGTTTTTCTTAAAAAATCAAATTTTGAGACGAACAAATTTATGCTATGTTTCAATTTTTTGTCACGCCATTTAACAATTTTTTTTTTGTGTGACTAGATTGTAAATCATTTATGAAAATGAAAGGTTATAGATACAAATTGTTTGTGGAACAAGATTCTATGTCTATGATTTTGTTCCGTGGCAAAAAAAGATTAAAAACATGGAGACAAGAAGACCATCGGTACACATTCAAAACTCTCCGAAAAAGTAGTGATAATGGTTTTGAAATCACCGTATGAAGATGCAAAGCGGAAACCAGAGAAGGAGAAGTAACAAGAAATTTCAATGAAATGTCTCTGATCCTAGAAAAAGCATGTTCACCCGATAGCATGAGCTAAACTAAACAACGAGATTCAAGCATCGACAAGACGATTAAGTATTTGATGTATATAGAGTAATGTACATAGTCTTTTGTATATATCATGACCAGTTTACAAGACTCTTATATACAAAAGACTATGTACATTACTCTATATACATCAATATTAAGATATGACTTATCACTTATGACTGTACTTGTGTGACGAATCGTTTTTCTTTTCAATATTATATACATCATTTATTTGTCGTAACGACATTTCGGTGTAAAAATATTTCGCTTTCGTTTGATCGTTGCAGATATTTGTTGCGTAATATGAATTTGCTTTGAGAAAGCTACAAGTGTTCATAATACGAAGCGCCGATGGATTAAAACAGCTTGGCCCAGTGGGCCTATTCTCGAAACTAAATACGCAAGAAAAACAGTGGCATTGAATGTAATAAAGCAACCTTTTGAGGGACAACTTTGAAAAAAAAAAAAAAAGAGAGTTTTTGCATTTAATGTCACCTGCCTGCTCAAATATATCACATCACGTTACAGAGTTTCTGAAATTGCTTCTTTTTTGTGTTTTTTCAACCTTTCGTCTCTTTTGCTTTCTTCTTCCATCCTTTAAATACATTCACTCTGTTATCATCGA